ATAGGAACTAATTCAAATGCTCCTCAAGTTCAAGTGATTGAAGATTAATTCTTAGTCCATAAAAGCTAACTTAAGTGTTTCGGTTTAAGTAAAAATGAAATGTTTTTATTTTATCGAGGTTTCACAATAATAAGTTTATATTAATAACTGACTTTTATGTCTATGAAAATTTCTGCAGAGGTTGTAAAATGTCCCTGCTAAAGGATGCTAGTCGGCCCTGGCCCGGGGCTCAGTCCGGTGGAGTGTCATCCAGCTCACCGAGGGGTTGTGGGGTCGAACCACGGGTGCGGCGCACACCCAGCTTTCCCGCTGGGTCCCCAGTTGGCGCGCATACTCGAGGCTGCCGATCCACGTTTCTCTCTCGTGTCAATGTTTCCCTCCCCCTCTCGCTCCTCCTCTTCCTCTCCCTCTAAAATCGATGAAACATTTCCTCAGGTGAGGATTTTTTTAATGCTAATCAATGACTTAGTTTTCATTAGACATTAAGCTTTTAAGGATTAAAATCTCAACATAGGCAGGAAGCTTTGCTGTGTTTCAGAGGGAACCCTGCAGCACCTCAAAAGGTGTGAAACTATGTGGACAGCGTTGTAAAATGAGTGATGGGAACTCGTAGGGTTCGTTGTGTGGGTAAACGGAGGCTGTAACTTGAACAAATAGTTGGTGCTTCTGGGAGCCCAAGAGGGACGCTTGGTTCTTCCCTGCGCCCCGACTCCCCACTTTTCAGGTTTTGCATTCCTTCATGCACCGCAGTGCATTCAGGCGGAACTTGGATGAAGGAATTTATGAGCTGACACTATTGAAAGGAGACATCTTACACCTTCGCCAAAATCTGATAGAGGCACTTCAGGGAAATACCAAGTTGGTAATGACTTCCTCTCACAGCAAGCTCACAGGAGATAAGACTTCATACATTATTGTTCAAAGTCAAGGACATCCAAAAAAGACACTTTCCGACCTCATTGGGAGGGGCTGATGGGGCATCCAGCCGTGAATGGACAGCTCCCCTGTCTCCAAACATCGCAGACTGCTCCAGGACGAGAAGCCGATGTCAGAGGCAGGTGGGGGTCCCATGTCCTCCGCAGGCCTGTGTACCGCGGATTGAACTCAGGATGCGTTTTGTTTGATCGTCTGCTGATGACACTGTCACGACAACAATGGTACACTTGTTCTTTGGGTTTTTCTCTGTAGTCCACCTGTTCATGATCACTGAACATAGGTAACTTTCAGTACCTCTTTATGGCTTATGTAAATGTTACACTAGGCACCAAACACAGAAAAATGGGACAGAAGGCAAAACTCGGGTCATGACAGTTCACAGGAAGAAATGATCAGAGCGGTGTTTCATAATGAAGGCCGTGGGACCTGAGTGCCTCCCATGCACCTGTCCTTCCCTTTTAGGGAAAAATTGGGCCTCCACTCAGATCCCAGGGTTACAGTGTTGGCCCATCCCCCACAGTGGAGAAGACAAGGGTGATACTGAGACTCCCTAGGAATGAGCCCTCCTAGCATCCTGCGACAGCTCTCTCTGACCAAGAGGTTAGGCATCCATGCATCCTTCAGACTGATTTAGGACCAAAAGGGGAACCGTGGACAAAAAAGGGGTTCTATGGAGTGTAACCTCACAGGGTGCTGTGGTCATGAATTCCTAACTGGGCAGGTCATGGTGAGTAGCCACACCCCCGGCCTGTAACTTCTTCACTATGAGGCCCATCTCTGCCTTAAGCCAGCGCAGCCCATTGTTTCTGTGCATTGAGGTCACCGCACCTCTGACACGGTAACCTCCCAGAAGAGAGCGGGAAATCTGCTCCCTCTCTCGGGACCCCATCCTGCCTGTGTTCTCCCGCCTCCGTGTAGGCTTCCTTATGCTTCCGCCTCAGGGTCAAGTGCATAAAAAAAGCTGTAAAACTCTGGTTCTCCTGAGCATTCGAGATCTTTCTCCCTGGCATACATTGTAAGTTTGGCTCAAATAAACTGATAAAAGCTCAAAAAAGAAAAAACCACAAAAAGCAAAGCAAAAAAGAAATAGATCTTTAAAGACTTTTACAAACTTTATTTGGATCATGATTCGAACACACACATACAACAGTCTATGAAAACTGAACACCGAGTGAATATTTAATGATAATAGGAGTTATTATAATTTTGAGATGTGATAATAAAATTGTGATTTTATATTAAGAGTTTTTATTTCTCAGGGCTGCACACTGAAAAGTTTAGAGATGAAATCATACAATGTTTGGGATTGCTTCAGAGTAATCCAGCTGACAAGGAGAGAGTCAGGGAGGTAGGAATGAAACGAGATCGGCCATGAATTAAACATTTTCATCAACCCACGGCTGATGGATAGCTACAGTTTTAAAAATAGATGATATGCATATATAAACCAGATAAAGGAAAAGGAAAAAAGTTTTTTAAACACAGACAAAATATATTAATCAACACCAGCAATTTTCATTCTTTTTTGTCTCATACCACATATAAACTAATTACTAAAATTCGACAGCATAGCAAATAATTATCTTTTTCTTATCTGACAAAAACGGGTATCATTTTGATTTACTCACACAGGGCAGCTGTAGTTGTATTGGCTGTTGTCATTATTGTTAGTGGAATACATACAGCGTGAGGGGAAGGAGGTCAGTGCCCTGATGACATGGTCAGCTACTGCATGTCTTACCAGTTCCTGTGGCACAGGGAAACGGTTGAAAGTCGCTGAGCAAGACAAGCCCAGCAGACAGAAACAGGATTTTTTATTAATAAGGTATAATAAACCACAGTAAAGTATAAAATGTTGAACAAAGACACGGTCGGGTTACTACCCGTTGGGCACAGTAGACACAGAGCGTAGGACCCGCAGTCCTTTCTGGGCCCAGGAAGATGTTCATGTTTCTTTTATAATACAAAATAAACTTTTTGGTTGAAGAAAATATCTGCTTATATTAATATATTTATCTATATAATATTAATATAATTATCTATATACCAGCAAAGCCATCAAATAGATTTTTGAATTATTATTATTATTGTTATTATTATTATTTTGATGGAAAGGGTCCAGAAAGGACAGCAGTGCCCAGGGCCCACAGTAGTCGGAACACAGCGCTGGAGACTGTGGTCACGAACATTTCCGTATTGAACGGCAAAGCGGCAAAATACAAACTAGTAGAGATGCTGGACAGCAAGGATGGACAGCTCGTGACATCGTGGCTGCAACAGCTGAACACGATTTTGGGGTCCCCCCGGGGAGAGAGGGAGGGGGAGGGCGAGTGTGGTCACCAAACAGCTGGTCGGATCATCCTGGTCAAATGCACAGAAAAGAGAAAGACGGCGGACACTTCTTGGGGTGCCTCAGTTTTCCACCCGATGTGAGAAGAGTGCCCCCAACACTTCTCTTCCCCCACCCCAGTGCTTCATAGATGTTTCATACCTATTGTTCATATATGTTTCCCTGGGCCCCCTGCCCCAGGAAGTGGGTTCGTGGGCTCTCAGGGACACAGCTGACCCAGCGGCTGGAACGACTTAGACCTGGCACAGTCCCAGCCGACACAGCCCTGCCTCATTGTGATGGGACAGGGCCGGCCTGGGGGCAGGGATGAGAAAGGCAGGGCTACAGGCCAAGGAAACGTTGCCCTGGAAGGGAGTCTCAGTCTCCCCACCTGCAAAGAGTTCAGGCTGAGCCATCTGAGGCTCCCCCGAGGCTTTTAGCCCCGAAAGATGGGGGAGAGTTTAAGGCACGCCCTTCCCCAGACCAGCCCAGCAGCAGTGCCAGGCACAACTGGGGGATCCACCTGAGATTCTGCATGTGAGCCAGGCGGCCACCCGGGCTGGCCAGGCCCTGCAGGGAACAGGGATTAAGTCATCCACTTCTGGCTGCAGCTCTTTGGGAAGAATGGGGTGGGGGCAGGAGGATAAAGGTTTGGTGGTTTGGTGAGGACAAAAGTAACAACACAAGCATCACATACATACACCCTGGGAGGAAACAATCATATTTTTTAACCATCAGTCAGGTTGGACGCCGGTCATAGGGCTAGACAAGGTCCTGGGAGTCCCTTCCGTCCGTAGGCATTTTCCCTTCAACTGCCGGGTCAGGGAAAGGGTGGGGGTGCCCAGGGCAGACTAGGGGGACAGGATGGCAATAGGATACTCAGGGGGCTCAGGGCCGTGGTGAGTTCCCCACTATTACAGATTTCGATGTCTCAACCACCTGCTGAGTACAGGCCCCTTGACACAGCCCTCACTGTCCCCTGTGCCCCCAGGGCAGTGTCCTGGTCCCCAGGTAGCAGGCCGTTCCTGCGAGGCTCAGACCTGGAGCAGGAGAGCAGGCTGTGTGGGGGGGAGCCAGGTGGCCGGTCTGTGGGGATGAGTCAGAGCCCTGAGCCCAAGGGGACCGCAAGTTCCAGTGTTCACAGCGGGCACCACAGGTGGGGTGGGAGGGAGGGAGTTGGGGTTCCGCCCCTCCCCCCAGTCACTGAAAGGCCCTGAGGCCAGAACGAGGCTACCAGTGCGCATCCTGGAGAGCCCTGTCTCCAAAGGCCACTGATTTTTGTTGGCATTTCTCTGTTTATCTTTGTAGTTACTTAGTTTTCCACTCTTTAAATAATTATTATAATTACTTTTAAATACAAAATACTCGATGTTCTTTCTCCTCTCTTGTTTGGGGAGACTGGGAGGCCAGTTTTAAATGGGTGTGTCAGCTGTCTAGCAGGTCACGGGCTCCGGGTGGGAGGCCCACGAACCCCAGATGCCTCCCTTCCCCTGGGGTGTCCCGGCACCCCACTTCACCCTCCCCTAGTCTGCCCCATACCAGGGCCTCTCAGTGCCCTGGCCCAAGGTCCCCAGGTGGTGAGGAGCCCTCTCCGGAGGTGGCGTGGAGCTGATGCTGTGGGACTCCTGGGCGGCCTGGTTCCGACGGACAGGGTCAGACAGAGAAGGCCCTAGGCCATGAAGCAGACAGGCCCCAGCAGCACCCCGCCCCGCCTCGGGGGGGCCCCCAGGTCTGAGAAGGAGGCGTCCAGCACTGGCAGCTGCTCCAGCACAGGTGTCCGCACCTCCAGCACCCTCCGGCCTTGCTGTGTCTGCAGGACACAGGAGGGAGGGGAGTGAGCATGGGGGAGGGGCCGCACCGCGGGTGCCCCGCCCTCCAGCCAGTGTACCTCTCCTCTGCCTGCCCTGAGCAGCTCCCCTGACAGCGTCACATGATCAGACGGGCTGATTTTCCTCCAGAGTCAGGCCGGGAGGGCCAGGAGGCTGTCTGTGCCCGTGTGTGTGGTGTGTGTGCGCACACTCACGACCCAGTGTGTGCGGCTGTGGGTTTGTCTTTGAGATTGCCTGCTTGTGGTGGGGTGTGAGTCTGCGTGACTCCTCGGGGGTGTGTGTACATGCGTGGGGGGGCAGCATGCTGCATAATATTAACTGTCATGATCCCACGGGTGGGGGGATGTATGTGCAGGTTGGGGGGTCTGTGCCCCTGCGCCTCCCTGGGGGTGTTGCCCTCTGCCCCATCCATGTGCCTCTGCAGGGCTCCTCTGTAACCATGTGTGCTCGGGTGACTGCTGTCTGCACACAGGGGAACCCCACTTCCATCGTCCCCATGCCCTCTCCCCATCTGAGCTCCCTCAGCCATATCTGACCAGGGAGCTGGACACCTGCTCTCCGGAGCGTCCCTGCCCCAGGGGTCTTCCTGCAGCCCGACCCTGGGACCCGCCCCTCCTGCGCTTTTCCAGCTTCCCACCTGACAGCCCTGTCTGAATTCCTTGACATAGGGGCTGGTGTCCGGGCTCAGCTCATCCTCATTGGCTCCCTTGAGCTTCAGCTGGCCTTCCGGGGCCGCCCCAGAGCACGGGTAGGACACGTCCTGGTGGGCGGAGACGCTGAGCAGCCTCAGGAAGGTGAGCTGGACCACGCCTACTGGGGAGCCCTCCGAGTCCACGTAGGAGAACTGGCAGGAGAGGGGGCTGGCTCAGGGCCGGCGGGGCAGCCAGAAGACAGCCGCGGGGGCAGGGGCGTGAGCAGGGAGCGGGTGGGAGGAAAGGGCTGGGGAGTAAAGAGGGCCCGGTGGGAGCCAGGAGACTGGGGGTAAAGAACAGGCGAACGTAAGTCTTGGGCGCCCAAGGGGAGCAGACGAAGTGAACGTTGGAGGGCGGGTGAGAAGGAAAGAAGAAGGCACAGGAAAGGAGAAGGGCCGGGGGCTTGTCACACAAACCCACAGCCCACTCTGCCCTGACAGGGAGGGGGCAGACCCCGGCCAGCTCTCACCTGTGTGACGTCATCCCGAGGCAGCACACAGGTCTCTCCTCCCGCTGTGAAGTTGCAGAACACCCTGAAGGCGTCCCGAGCACAGCCCTGGTTGGGGTCAACCCAGTACTCTCCTGTGGGGTGAGGGAGAGGGGAGGCGCAGGGCCCTGAGCGCCTGGACCCCAGATGCGCTTTGCCCCAGGTTCCCACTCCCCCAGCTCTCCCCACAGTGCGGCCACCTCCCGACCCTGGGACACAGGGCCCCTAACACAGGCCCCCACTTCAGTCTCCCTCATCGCCTGTACTCCTGCCCCATCCATGGAGCAAGTAACACTGTAATTATTATTATTCACAGTTCATTATTCACCGATCACATGATATTGTACATAGAAAACCCTAAAGACTCTACCAAAAAGCTACTAGAGCTAATAAATGAATTCAGCAAAGTAGCAGAATACAAAATTAATATTCAGAAATCAGTGGCATTTCTATATACCAATAATGAACTACCAGAAAGGGAACCTAACAAAACGATCTCATTTACTCTTGCAACAAGAAAAATAAAATACCTAGAAATACATTTAACCAAGGAGGTAAGAGACCTGTACTTGGAAAACTATAAGACACTGAGGAAAGAAACTCAGGAAGATACAAACCAATGGAAGCAGATACTGTGCTCATGGGCTGGAAGAAGTAACATCTTATTAAAATGTCTATACTCCCCAAAGTAATCTATACATTTAACGCAACTTCAATTAAAATACCCGTGGCATGTTTCATGTTGTAGGCAACAGATGAGTCAATACACGCTCTCGGAGACGAAAATAGGTTTCAAAGAATTCTAGTTTTATTGATCACAAAATAATAGTCCAATTATAAATTTGGTGGCCAAGCTTTACCTGCGTAGGGGCGAGCTTCCCAGATGTGACTGGAGTCATAGTAGCTTCTCAAAGCTACAGATGGAAGTCGCGCGTGGCTCACAGACTACGGGGTTTTTATAGGGCAGAGCAAGCGAATGCGGGCTTACAGAAGCAGATGTGGCAGTTAGCTATTAGCTAGGTTACTAAGTTGAAAACGGCGAAGGTCCCTAATTGGTGGGTGTTGCTGCTGGGGGTCTCTTCTGGAGGGCCTTGGTTAGTTACCTTATTTGGCTAGGAATTTTTAACCCAGCTGTTCCCTGACGTTTATTTATTACCCAGTCTCAGGAACTGCAGATGCCTAACGGCTGTTTGTATGTTTCTACTACTAATGGCTATTACATTTCACAGATCTAGAACAAATATTTCTAATATATATATAGAGAGCCAAAAAAAACTACCAAACCCCACATAGCCTCAGCAATCTTGAGACAGAAAAGCCAACTTGCAGGAATCACAATACCTGTTATCAAACTATATTACAAGGCCACTGTAATCAAACAACCTTGTACTGGCATAAGAACAGGGAAAAAATCAATGTGACATAAAACACAACCCAGAAATCAACCAATGCCTATATGGTCAATCAATATTTGACAAAGGGCACAAGAGCATACAATGAAGTAAGGACAGTTTCTTTAATAAATGGTGTTGGGCAAATTAAATAGGTACATGCAAAAAAAATGAAGTTAGACTACCAACTTACACCATACAAAGAATAAACTCAAAATAGATAAGAGACTTCAATGTAGGTAACAAAACCATAAAAAATCTTAGAAAAATAAACATAGGCAGCAAAATCTCAAATATCTATTGTAGCAATATTTTTGATGATATGTCTGTCTCCTAGAGCAAGGGAAATACAAGAAAAAATAAACTTAAAAGATAAAAAATATGACTTCATCAAAGTAAAAATCTTATCCACATCAAAAAAATCATCAACAAAATGAAAAGGGAACCCATTGTATGGAAAAACATATTTGCCAATGAAACATCTGATAAGAGATTAATTTTCAAAATATATAAAGAACTTATACAGTCAACACCCAGAAGACTAACAATCCAATTTAAGAAGGGGTAAAGAACCTGATTAGACTCTTCTCCAAAGAGGACATAGAGATGGCCAATAGACATATGAAAAAGTCCTCAGTGTCACTAATCAGCAGAGAGATGCAAATTAAAACCACAATGAGACATCACCTCACACCCACCAGAATGGCTCTCATCAATAGACCAACCAAAAACAAGTGCTGGCGAGGATGTGGAGAAAGGGAACTTCAGTGTACCACTGGAGGGAATGCAGACTGGTGCGGCTGCATTCCCACCAGAATGGAGTTTCCTCAAATGGTATGGAAAACAGTATGTAGTTTCCTCAAAACATTAAAAATGAAACTGCCTTATGATGCTGGGATCCCACTTCTGGGAATATTTCCTAAGAATTCGGAAACACCAGTTGGAAAGACTATACGCACCTCTGTGTTCACAGCAGCATGCTTTCCTGATGTAGACTCCGTCCAGCAGGGTCCATGTGTTGTGGATGCGACGAACGAATTCACACAGACTGCAGAAGTCCTGTGGGGAAAAAGGGACGGACAGCCACTCTCTGAGAGAGAGAGAGAGAGAGAGAGAGAGAGAGAGAGAGGGCACCCTGTCCCCTGCCTGGACTGGCTTTCATTGCCTTCCAGTAGCATTACATCCAAGAAGGTTCTCATTCATTATACTTAGGTTTACTTTAAGTGATTACTTCTTCCAGATAATGAAGAAGAATGTTGCAAATGCAAAGGAACAATAAAAGTGATTGATCTGGCTACATTACATACTTGGAATGCCTTGGCACAGACTTTAGGGAGTTGCTTCAGAGATATACATTAAACATTTACAGTTTTAACTCAGGATGAAGGAATAAAGCAAGCCTTAAAGCAGCCTAGGTACAATGCCAGTCTGGTTCCCCATGGGAAAGCCGATCTGCGTGCCTGGATCCTGTGTGCCACCTTGCACCTGATTGGTTTTCCGTTCGGGGCTGGGCTACATTCACCATTGCCATGCAGAGCAGTTCACAATACTTCCCAACAGCCAAGATGTAGAAACAGACCCGGTGCCCATAAACAGATGAGTGGATAAAAAAAATTAATAAACAGTGGTACATTTATACAATGGAATACTACGCCATCATAAAAAAGAAGAAAATCTAACTTTTTGCAACAGCATGGATGGACCTGGAGAGTATTATGCTCAGTGAATATGCCAGTCAGAGAAAGATAAACACCATATGATCTCACTTATATGTGGAATATAATGAGCATGATAAACTAATGGACAAAACAGAAACAGAGGCAGGGACACGTGGAACAGAGTGACAGCTGTCTCTGGAGAGGCTGGAGGGGGGACTGGGTGAATGAAGGTGAAGAGATTAACTGAAGAACATGTGTGTATAACCCATAGACACAGACGACAGTGTGGTGATAGTCAGAGGGAAGCAGGGGTCAGGGGCTGAGTGAAAGTGGGCAAAGTGCTGGGAGATGGGGACATCTGTGACAGTGTCAACACTAAAAATAAAGAAAAAATGCATCACATACACTTAGCATACCAAACACCATAACTCAGCCTAGACTACTTAATTAAATTTTTTTTGAAATAAGTTCATGTCTTTTTGGGAAAGGCCAGGTTCCTGTTTCTCAACACCCACAGCAAAACTTGTTTTTGTCCTTTGGAAGTGTTCACGCCAGTGGGTGTGAGGAAGTTCCTCCTGGTCATTTTGATGCTGAGCATCTGTTCCTGCACTGATTATTTGTGTATCTGCTGTGCAGAAATGACCGTTCAAGTCCTTAGTCTCGTCATTTAATTGGTTTTTGTTATTGTTGTTGTGAGTTGTAGGAGTTCCATGTACATTTGGGATACTATTCTCCTCTCAGATACATTATTTTAAAATAATGAATTTGGTGAGTTGACTTTTGACTCTGTTGATGGTATCCCTTGATAAACAAAAGGTTTTTTAAATTTTTAATGAAATCCAATTCTTCTTCCACTTCTTTTTTACATGTGCATTGGTATTATATCCCAAAAAAATCATTGCCAAATTCAATAGTATGAAACTTTTTTCCTATGTTTTCTCTTAAGTGTATTATAGTTTTCATTCTTACCTTTAAATCTTTGAGTTAATTGTTATATATGGTGCTAGGTAAGTAAGGATCCAACTTCATTCTTTCACATCTAGATACCCAGTTTTCTCAGCACCACTTGTTGAAATAAAAATTGTGCTTCCCCCCATTAAATTGTCTTGAGCTTGTGTTGTAAATTATCTGACCATGCAGGGAAGAGCTCCTTTCTGGCCCCTTCACTGCACTGGTCTGGGTGCCGGTCCTGATGCCAGCACCATGGACTCTGTGGTGAATGTTCAGCAATGAAGTGCGAACCTCTGGCTCTTTTCTTCTTTTTCAAGATTGTTTCAGCAATTCAGGGTTCTTTGTGATTCCAAATGAATTTTAGGATGAATAGTTTTATTTCTGAAAAAGGCATCATTAGGATTATGATGGGGATTGCAATGACTCTCAAATTGCTTTGGAGAGTATTGACATTTTAATAACATTGAATCTCCCAATCCATGCACATGAAACATCTGTCTACATATTTAAGTCTTCTTTAATTTCTTTCAGCAATGTTTTTTTTTTTAGTTTTCAGTGTGCACAGCATTCATCTCCTTGGTTAAGTTAATTCTTAATTGTTTTATGCTTTTTGATACTATCATGTGTGAAACTGTTTCTTTCATTTCCTTTTGGATTGTTTATCATGAATGTATAGAAACACAACTGATTTTTCTGTGTAGATTTTGTATCTGGCTATTTTGCTGAATTCATTTATTCATTCTAACATTTTTGATAAATATTTATAGTTTTCTACTGACAAGATTGTGTCACATGTGAACAGAGATCATTTTACTTTTTCATTCACAATTTAGATGCCTTATGTTTCTTTTTGTAGTCTTATCACTCTGACTAGAATTTCTAATACTATTTTGAACAGAAGTGGCAAAAGCAGGCATCCTCGTCTTCCTGAAATTACAGGGAAAGCTCTGTCTGTCACGACTAAGTATGATGTCGGCTGTGGACTTTTCATATATGGCTTTTATTATGTTAAGGTAGTTTCCTTCTACTCCTTTTTTTTAGTGTTTTTTTTTAATTACAAAAGTGTTGGATTTTGTCAAATGGTTTTCCT